ATTGACGATTTTTCACGTTATATGTATCTCTATTTGCTTCATTCTAAGGATGAAGCTTTTGATGCCTTTAAAGTTTTCAAGGCTAAAATAGAGAAACAATGTGAAAAACAGATTAAAATCGTCCGATCAGATAGAGGTGGTGAATATTATGGTTGATATACTGAGAATGGACAAGCACATAGTCCTTTTGCAAAGTTTCTTCAAGAGCATGGAATTGTTGCCCAATACACTATGCCTGATTCTCCTGACCAGGATGGTGTTGCTGAAAGAAGAAACCGGACCTTAATGGATATGGTGAGAAATATGCGGAGTAATGTAAAACTCCCTGAGTTCTTGTGGACTGAAGCTTTAAAGACGGCAGCGTATATATTGAATCGAATTCCAACTAAGGTTGTCTCAAAGACACCTTTAGAGTTATTTAAAGGTTGGAAACCGAGTTTAAGACATATACGCGTTTGGGGATGTTAGTCTGAAGTGAGAGTTTACAATCCACAAGAAAAGAAATTAGACCCAAGGACCATTAGTGGATATTCCATTGGATATGCTAAAAGGTCCAAGGGTTATAGATTCTATTGTTCATCTCACAGTACTAAAACTGTGGAATCAATAAACGCAAAATTTCTTGAAAATGACTTGATCAATGAGAGTGATCGCATTCAGAACGTTGTTTCTGAAAAGAATCATCATGAAGCTCAACCCTCTGATTCAAGTAATAGATTAGTAGATAGCCTCGATGCTTCCAATAAAGATTCTCTAACACCACGTGTAGCTAGTGATGCCGAGGTCGATCCACAGGGACTGTGAAGTTTAATTCCTGATTTTGTCACACATTCAAGTATTTGGGGGATGGATTAGCAATTCACTAAAATAATTAAAATAAACGATGGAAAATAAAATTTAGATTTCAAAGAGATTAAACTTCTAGCCCAAGGAGTAAATAAGAAACCGGATTAAAGATTCGATCATTGATTTTAAATAATCTTGTTATTCAACTGAGAAATTGGTTATAGGCATTAGATACGATCATAGCACCCAATTTTTCCTTACTTTATTGGCGGAAATGGTACGACTGATTAACCGCAGCCCTAATCAAAGAAATAATCTATGTACAACCATAAATTAATTTCTCCAATTGAAAATAGCATGGGAAAAATCCAATTCAAATATTTAATCAATTACGAAGAGATTAAATTATTTGATCATGTGATTCCTAGGCTAAGCTTGTTAACCTATTTACCACTTTATGAAACACAAACATAATTACGGATGTAAATGTTCAATTGGCACACAATTGCTAAACCAATCTAAAATCCGGACACGATAAAAGATTAAATAAAACAGTTGCAGGCATGAATCACATAAATCACACAAATATCAATTTACTTAAACAAGATTCAAAATAAATCAAACACAATCTCACAAACCCCAATCCAAAATCTACATTCAACCTTGGACTAGACTAGGAATTTAGCTACTCATACTTATAAATAAATAAAACAGTGAACTTGATGATCATCCGAAAGTGCTTTATCTCTAAACGGCCTTCTCAATCCACTACAAAAAAATAATATATTTGTAACGGAATTTCGTCACTAAAGTTCACGTAGCTAATGTAATTCCATTCCTAATTCCGTCTCTAATGTCATTAGTAACGGAAAAAATAGATTTAGAGATAAAAATTTTGTTATAAAAATAATTTTTTCTTGTAGTGATCCTCCACTTAGACTATGAAGTGAGTATGAATTGTGATACCACATCAAATGCCTTGACCCCCCTTTTATAGATGATCGGGTCCTCAATCACTCCCTTAATTGCTCCTTATTAATCACGATGCCAACAATCAAGCTTTAATTTCCGCAATCCACCTCTTTCCTTAGCATGGGATTTTAATTCAAGTCTTTCCAAAATTCTTTGATCGAAAATATGGCATGGATGTGAATCGCTCAATTACCTTGCACAAATCAATACATGCCAAAAATGAGTATAAATCTATCCAAAATATTGACTAAATCTTATAATTATAAATGAGTATTTGTCTGAAAATGAAATGAGAATAATTAAATTTTCAGATATAAACCAAGGCTTGTAGCCCAAGGTTTTTCACAAAGATTTGAAATATATTTTAATAAAACATATTTTCTAGTACTATATGGAATAACATTTCGATATCTTGTCAATTTGACAGTTCATGAAATTTAGATATACGTTTGATGAACGTTGTAATTGACTATTTATATAGATCAATAGATATTGATATCTATATGAGAATTCTTGAAGGATTCAGTATGCCGATGCATAAAAATTAATGCCAAAAGAATGTTATTATATTAAATTACAAAAGTCTTTGTATGAGCTTAAGCAATCTGGTCGTATGTGGTATAATCGTCTCAGTGATTATTATTGAAGGATGAATATACCAATAATTCTATTTGCTCATGTGTTTTTATAAAGAAAAATGAGAGAAATTTTGTAATAATAGTTGTTTACGTGGATGACTTGAATTTAATTGGAATCCCTGAAGATGTCAAAGAAGCTATTGAATATTTGAAAATGGAGTTTGAAATCAAGGATTTTGGAAAACGAAATTCTATCTTGGTTTACAACTTGAACATTTGGAAAATAGAATTCTGATGCATCAATCTGCATGTACCCAAAAGGTATTGAAACGATTTGCAATGGATAAAACACATTTATTAAGTACTTCAATGGTCGTTAGAACTCTCGGTCCTATTTAGGGTCCTTTTAAACCTAAAGAGAGTGAGGAAGCACTTGGTCCTAAATTACCATATTTAAGTGATATTGACGCACTAATGTATATGACTAACCGTACAAGACCAAGCATAACATTGCTGTAAATTTATTAGCAAAATTTAATACAATGCCAACACAACGACATTGAAAATGAATTAAACATATTTTTCGTTATCTCCAAAGAACAATTGATCTCAGTTTATTATATTTAAAAAATTCTTGACATGAATTAATTGGATATGCAGATGTTTGATATCTTTCTGACCCGCATAGATCTAAGTCCCAGACTGACTATATATTTACTTGCAGCGGTACAATAGTATCCTGGAGATCCACTAAACAAACATTAACCGCCACATCTTCGAATCATGCTGAAATAATAGCAATTCATTAGTCTAGTCGAGAATGTATCTAGTTGAGATCAATAACTCACCATATGTTAAATAATTGTGGATTGAAATATGAAAATGATAATCCTTCTACTACTCTCTATGTCCTACTTAATTTGTCCACTCTTTAGATATCCGTGCTTCCCATGTAAATAGTCTCTTTCAGTTTTTGGAAATCTAATTATACACTTCAATCATATTTTAAAATTCATAATATATAATTTTTTTTAATTTCAATTAAACTATTTAGTCATTGTAAAACTCCGTATCCCAACTAAAGTGTACAAATTAGTTAAGACGGGGGGATTATTTTATACGAAGATAATGTTGCTTGTATAACACAAATAACTAATTGTGACGAGTAATCCTACGACTCTACCTCTCAATCTCTCTCTTTCTCTTTATTTAAATAACCACTCATACATACATATACAATCACACTAATAGAGTCCCATATCCATACTCATACATACAGTCCCGTTCATGACCTTCGATGGCACGGGGCAACATCAAAATTAGGGTCCTAAGCTAAATCATTTAATTATTGTTAAGACATTCATCTCTTAGATAAATTTTCAATAACTTTCTTTTATATTATTATTGGTATAGATAATAAAATATGATAAATTATCAAAATATTTGAATAACAACGAATTACTTTAATAAATTCAAGAATTTAAATTAGTGATATCAATTTACTAGCCATAATCATTTGTAAAATTTTTAATTTAAAAATATTTTTGTTAAAATCAATATCAATATATTTTATGTAAAAATATATTTGAGAAAACTATACAAAAGTAACACACTAGAAGATTGAGCAAATAAATAAAATGAAATAAAAAGTATAAAATCATAACAATTGAAAGAAAAAATACAATAAAATAATAAAAAGACATCATAACTTAAAAATAAAAAATAAAAAATAAAAAATAAAAAGAAAAGAAGCGCAGAAGACAACAATGAACAAAATAACGCTAATTTTGATGAGTCAATAACAGAAGAAATCTGTTGATAGAACAATTTGCAATTTAGTGTTTGAATTTTCATCCAAGAATAAATAAAAATTTAGAAGTAGATAATTGTTGATATTATTAATAAAATTATAAATTCTGGACAAAAATGAATTATAATAATCTGTTTTGAAGCTGAAATTGTCTCTTGGTCTTTTTCAATTTTTTTTTTTTGACTCCCACGCCATGTTGTATATAATTTATCTATAATCCTAATACATGATTAAAAAATAAACTCCTAAAAATTTTTAGGCTATGGGCGAGTGTCCCTTTCGACCTGGCCCGAGGCTGGCTTACGTGTTTGTTCGAAGGATTTCGGTGGATTTCCACTATTCGTCCAATTTTTTTCCTCCAAAAACATCAAATCAAACACCTATTTTTCATTTTTTATATTATACTAAAAATCAATTTTACATTCAAAATATCACATCAAACCCTATTTATATCACATCATACAACTATTCAAATTCAAAATTTTTACTATTCAAATCCCAACTCAAAATCCAAACCCCCAAACAAACACACCCTAATTAAATATACATACTCATACATATACATTAATTAAATACACACGCTTATACATATATTACATGTATTTATTTATATATTCTTATATATGTTATATTATATATTTCTTTTTGTTTATTTCAAAACGTTCATTTGTGTATTTTATGCATATAATAATTATTTTAATAATCTTTTTAATAAATAATCATAAAAAAAATTTTATTAAAAAAAGAGTTTTATAATTATAAATTAAAAAATATATTTTTTATTTTAATTAATTTTTTAATTTTAGAGTAATTGGTAAATAGGATATACATGCATACCGTGGCGTAACCCCCCTCCATTAGATAACTGCTTCACGGATACGCAGCCCATATCCTCAGTTTTTTGGCCCTTTCCTTTTACCGTCTTTTACCATCCCGATTTAGTACCGTATTCTTCCTTCATCCTCCATTGGTTGGTTAGTCGGCGCTGGTGAATATGCAGACTGAAGCGCGTGTCGGAGTGGTGGTGGAAGGAGGTGGTCTCAATACGCCCTCCGTCGTGGTGGAGCCCCCCCGTCAGAGGCAAATTGATTCCGCTTCGCAGCTTCTCGCCGGTGGAGTCGCCGGAGCTGTCAGCAAAACTTGCACGGCACCTCTCGCCCGCCTCACAATTCTTTTTCAGGTTATGTCTTTTCCCCCTTTCTCTGCTATTTAATTTATTGTCTTCTTTTCGTGATCGTTTACCGTATGATTTGGCTTTTGGAGTTTGATTGACATGCTGATCTTGTTACCGCTAAATGAATTGCCGTGTATTTGTGGTAACATAATCTTTGATGAATTTGAAGGAGGTTATGCCCACACCTGCGAGTAATCGAAAGTCACTTGAAATTCAAAATTTTCATGTGATAGTTTGTTCCTTTTGCCTCAATACTATTCATTGATTTTCAAAGAAAATCCGTTTTGTGCTTCCTTCCTGATATAAGGTGCTGTGAGCAAGGGTTAATCATCAAGTCACATTTGTTTTCAATACAATATTGGATATGTATATATATATATATAATGTACAAGATGGCCAAATCATAGAGCTAAATTATGCTCGCTTAAAGCTTCTGATTTGATTAAAATTGTTTAATGATCGTATCATATTACTTTATTGAGAAGGGCAAAACTCAGAAGAAAAATGGTTGTTCTACTAGTAAATTTATTGTATCTTTAACATTCTATTTTAGATATTAACATATTTATCAACAAACCATTGTGATACTTGCTATTGTCCCTCACTACCTGAGCCAAAGTCACAACTGCCTTCCTTTATTCACATTATTTTCGAGACACGATGAGATGAATCACTTTGTGTTTTTGGAAGCGGCTAATGTAAATTCATTGAATACTCATTGGTTACTTACTAGGTCAATTCATGTTGAAGGTCTTTAACTTTGATATGCGTGTCACATCCATAAGTATGTCTACTTTAAATCGGCACATGTGAAACGACATAATGTTAAATCAATTTATTTGTATAGAATGGTTCACCAGTTCCTGTTCTTTTACTTGTTATCAATAAGCATAAATGCAGAACCACATTTTCATGTCAATGAAAATCTACTCTGTAATTTTTCTTAATAACAATCATAATAAGTACATCATGTTTAGACTGTTAGTGAACATAAAATAATATAAAATAAAATCCACTAATATGCAACATAAGGGTGTGACGGTGTGTTGTTTTGGGGTATTTTAAATTTGAAAGTTCTATGCGTATTTTAAATCACTAATGGAAATTAGTTTGTGCCTGTGATGATCTTTTATATGGTTAATAAATGTTAGATGTGCTTTGAACTCAATTTTTTTTTTCTTTTTTAATAAAAGGAAAATAGTTGTTGAATGTTGTGCTTTTAGGGGAAGAAAGGTATCTTACTGTAGATTGCACAATGCGAAAACAAGACCGGAAACACAAACAACACACCCTTAGTGTATAGAATGTGTTATTTCAAGGTCAAAGAAATGTATTTGTTTCCCTGAAGTATAATGTATAGTCAAGTAAATTTGTTTGTGACTCTGTATCAACTGCAGGACTAGTAACAGACGTGCAGGTTTATACTTCTCATTTTCTTTTCTGAGTTCAGTCTCATTGTTTTTTTCATAAGTTTCATTGCTGGATTGCTGAGTACACAATGATGTTGTCATGTATCTCACCATTTGTGTTGTTCTCTCAACCGATATATTTTCTTAAAGTTTGGTGATATTCTTCAAAGTCAATACAGTTTCAGCAATGAAGTCCGATGAAAATTTTATTCTTCAGACCATCCAAATATTAAGGCCACCATCTACATATTACTTATTAAGTTTTCAGTAAAGCTGCAGTGTTGGCGGATCATATTGAAAATTTGAAGCCTCTCCTCCTTCAAAGGACAATTCAATGTTATTAGACTATATTGAATAATTATATTAATTCAAGCGATGCTTAGTAATTCTCATCTTACCAATTTGAGATGATTGAGGTTGGAGTTTCACATCGTTGGCCATGGAAAACAGCTAGCAGAAAAGAGACAAGCCATTTTGATTTTATTCTTAATCATCAACTAGAGAAATTACAATCAATTCCATTATGAAACCAGCATATGTTTTAACTCAGAGTGGGAAAATGAGCTCTCCCACTAAATTTGGCGATGATTGCTGGTGTGTGACAGACTCGTGACTTCATGTGCTGACACATGAATAAGATTCCAAAACACTGTTGCAGGAACATGATTCGAGATCCTTTTCAATCAGACAGTAAAACCAATTTGGGATTAGGATGACAGGAAAGATTAGTTGAAGAAAAGAGAATATCTGGGCAATGCAGGTTGAAGAATCGACACCTACTGATATCTAGTCGAGAGAGATGAAAGGAAGGAAATGATTTTATTTTCTTGAACATGATTTTGTACCAAAATTACATGAATATAAAGATTTTCTTAGGTGAGGTGAAGAGACAAAAGAGCGGAAGGGACGATGGAGGTGAAACAAAAACACTAACAATTAAGTATAACTAATAATATCTAACAGGAGCTATTGTTCACGTGGTGTTGATTAGTTTAACTAATGGGAAAGGCGCTGTAAGTGGCAGGTGGCATACTTTGTAATGCAACTGTTGGGACTGTAGATAACTTGTAAGATATTTAAGTGCACTGTTTACCTCGATGTAGACTTTGTATTTTGTGATACTGTGTTAGCTTGTTTCTGGTATATCAACCTGTTTGTGGCTGACAAGGCTGGTTATTTACGTAGTGAGACATATTTAGATTACTGGGGACTAAAAATTATTTGAATTATCAGGTGTGGAATGGATGAATCATATGATTTTTTGTCCATAGTCATATTGAAATTGCTAACTAGTCACTGGGATTTTGAGAATTCAACACAATGGGCTGTATTCTGTTCTTGTATGCTGCTAGACAGTGTTTTGGAACGCTTAAGTATTCTATTTATTATTTATCTATGAAACATTTGGAAATTCATTATAATTTGTAACTGTATAATTTACGGTTATCTCAGTCTTCAATGGATCAAGTGCTCTAATGTTTGTAAACTTTATTATTGCAGATTCAGGGTATGCATACAGACATTTCTGGCTTAAAAAAGGCTGACATATGGCATGAAGCATCAAGAATTGTTAGAGAAGAGGGAGTGAGGGCATTTTGGAAAGGAAATCTAGTTACAATTGCGCATCGTCTTCCCTATTCCTCTATTAGCTTTTATGCTTTTGAACGCTACAAGAATGTTGGTACAACTGGTCTTTAAAGATCTATCATCTTGTGCAATTATTACATTCTGAACAGGTAATGTCTAACTTTTGCTTTTTCCCCCAGATGTTGCAAGTTATATGTGGAGTTGAAAATCAAGGAGAGAGTGTTAGTGCTGACCTCTGCATACGGCTTCTAGGTGGTGGCTTGGCTGGAGTAACTGCTGCTTCAGCTACATATCCTTTGGATCTTGTAAGGACACGCCTGGCAGCGCAGGTAAATGATTTAAATTTTTTCATTTATGCTATGAAGCATTTCACATCCATTCCATGCCTGATTATTTATTTTTATTGGTCTGATCTTCTTTGAAATATGCAGAGAAATGTGATATATTACAGGGGAATATGGCATGCGTTGCGTACCATCAGCAAGGAGGAAAGAATCCGTGGTCTTTATAAAGGACTTGGTGCAACTCTATTGGTAATACTTCCTCAATCCGAGAACTATAGTCTTTGTTGTGTTGGACACGAGATTTAAAGAATATTAATATTATATTGATAGTTGGTAAAAAATATAGATAAAAATTTTTTTTGTCTTTGTGAATGTATTAGTGTAAAAAATAGTGGCAAGGTAGGGATAGTTTTGTGGTTATATGGTTATTTATGGAAATGGAACTGTTGTTTTGGAACAGACAAAAATAATTGTATTGGGACGAAGGGTGCATTATTTACTTCATTTTATTGACTACTACGTATTGGATCCCCCTTCACTTTTGTCTACTTAGTTATTTGAGGCACTGCTTGCAGGGTGTTGGACCAAATTTGGCTATTAGTTTTTCAGTGTATGATACTGGAAGATCATACTGGCATTTTCATAGGTCAGGCTCTGTGAAATAACAAGTCTTTTTAATGGACTCTGTAATATAGCTTTGAATTAGAACTTTTAGTTTAAAGGTCAGGAGCTTACTTGCGCTTTTTCTTGGCTTCAGACCCGAAGACTCACCCGTTTTGGTAAGCCTTGCATGTGGAAGTCTATCCGGAATCGTAGCCTCAACAGGTGAGTCATAATAAATTCCATCTAATACCTTGCATGCTAAGATGAACAAGCATCTGTTTCCACCAATCAGCTCATTCATTCTATCATTCCATGTGCTTTTGAACTGTTACTAGTTGGGATGTGAAATAAGCAATAATGGATAGCATGAATAATTTCTCAAGTTAAAACTCATCTCACTGTACCACGAGACACTACAAAGACAGTGGATTACGTAAATGTACAAGTTAGAACTGATCTCACTGGACCATACGACTGAAGTTTATCTGAAGGAGTAAATGTGGTTCCTATTCAAACTTGATATACATATAGGCTGTATGGATAAATTATCCTTTGGTCCAGAAAGTGATTAAAGTTGCATAACTGTAACCTCAAATATTATTAGCGGCTTCATCTTTTAGCATGCATCATTCGCCTGTCTAATACATTAAAAAAATGCTGAATGCCTCTAGCTGTCTTCAATGCTTTTGATGCAGAGAGGTAGCTTGAGGACTCTTGCATCTCAGTAAGTATCTAACTGGGGCCCACACATGTTAATCTGGCAGTGTGAGAAATTTTGTAAGATTTTGAAAAATATTATCTGTTCTACGCAATAAACTTTATAATCTTCGTATTGTAAAGATATTAATTGGAAGAGGATGGTTTTTGTGGATAACTTGGCTATTGGAATATGCAGTTGGATGCACTATTGGGTGGCTAGTTTCTGGTGAGCCAAGTTTGCAGTTAGCAAATTGTGAGAGGCACCTCTCTGAGGTACGCTTCTCGGTTTGGCTCTTTCAGCTGCTACCCGATCAATGTATCATATTTAAGGAGCTGGTGGTGTATCCATACACACAGTCATTTGTGAAAAATTCAATATATTAACCTGACAACCATGTACTCTTCTGTACATAAAATATGTAAATATTTACAGGAAAGCAAACTATGCGAACTAAGCAACTAAAGAATATGGAAGCGAATTAAGTTAAATATATTATCTTCCTTGTAAGCTTGGAAAGAATCAGGGTATTTGATCTTGTGATTATTTTGTACTGTGATGATTCAATGTTTGTTTCTTGTTGGGCAAATACATTTGATGCTACCGCTTACTGTTTCTTGTTGTAACCGACTTTTTTAATATTATTGATTCATGGCACTTAAAGTTCCTTCGCTGGGAAATAAAGCTAGATTGCAGATGAATCGAGTTAAGCTTTATTGTAATGGAGCAGAGCTCAACTCAAGTTTAGTGGACTCAAGCTTGAGCTGAGATAATCTTTAAGTAATTATTGTTATTACTTTTAAAAACTAACTATATTTTAAATAATTATCGAAGTATTAAGGATAAATGTATTATTGCGAATGTCATCATTCCATTGTAAGTAATTATAGCATGTGACCTGGCTGCTATGGGAGCATATTTGTCATCAAACACATCTGTACATACACGTGATGTATTTGCTGTAGGAAGAATTATGCTAATTGGGGAGTGCTACATGACCTGTAATCTATACACAGCACTAATCTATGGCGATGTCTTTGCTTACATAGGGTATTGCTGTTCCTTTTTTGGCCGTGCTCCTGTATACAAGCGTGTTTGATAAAATCAAATGGCTGTCGTACATGTTTATGGGACTAGGTCAGACTAGTAGTTAGTTGAGTCACGTTTCTTTCCCCTGTATGCGAGAAGTTGTGAAAATCAAATATTTTATTCCTTTTCACTGAAAGAAGTTGAGACTTTAAGACGGCTAGGAGGCTCGTTTGTACGAATCATGTCATCAAGTTTCTAAAGAATAACATCATTCATCAGTTTGGTATCTCTAAAATCATCATGAGTGTTCAATAGAATCAACTGTGTGACATGTTTAGGGCTTAGGATTTAAGATCTATTATAGTCATGGCCGTGTCTACAAGTGTGGCCCCATAAACATGGTGCAACTACACGGCCGTATATAGAGTAATAATCACAGTTGTGTTTTTTGGAACCCATGGGTGTGGTTATTCAAACATGGTCATGATTAACGTTTAGCTAATAGGTACGGCGCCCCGACACTATAATATGGAAAATGTAAAATTAGGTATGATACTATAGAGTAACTATAATAGTGGATGTTAAAATATAAAGATAAAGCTCGTTTTTCTAATATCGGTGTCTCTGGTGCATTATTTTACTTTTCAGCAGTATCATTCATTCGGTTATAATATGTGTATCATCACTGTTCCGGCTTTGAGCAAAACCTTACATTCTTGCAGTAGTGTATCCTCTGGATCTCGTGAGACGGAGGATGCAGGTGGAAGGATCTGCCGGCAGAGCCCGTGTTTATAAAAGAGGAATCTTGGATGCTGTGAGACACATAACTCGGACAGAAGGGGTGCGCGGTCTGTACAGAGGGATTCTGCCCGAATATTACAAAGTGGTGCCGAGCGTCGGCATCGTGTTCATGACATACGAAAAGGTGAAGCAGTTTCTGGCCGAGGCTATTCCTCCAAGCTGACATTAACATTGTTTGTAGGCTGCCTGCTTGCAGCAGCTGCCTTTCCCTTTTGCAATATTTCCTGAGTATGAGTATTTTAATTAATTTTGATGCTTACTTGGACAATTAATTGTATAACCTTTTCTTGAGTACTATATTAGACTAGGCAGGCATTTAGGTTTTTCTAACTAGAATTAATTGGCCGTTTAATTTGGATCCCAAATTTCATGACATCCCACGTTAGTTATTTTTTTTTTTTATTGTTTACAAGGTATGGGAATTAAAAGCAGTTATATTTTGAGTTGTCGAAATTTGGATGTGAAAGAAAGAAATCATGTGTCATTGGAAGGGAAGGTTGAGCTCCAATAATTATTTAGCTTAGTAGTATCGCTAACCATTTGAAAATGATAAAATTTAATATTTGTAGTAAATATTAATATAGAAGTAATAAACATGAATATTAATTATCTCTGCTCTTAATCATTATTTTTTATATATATTGTTATATATGCATATATAGGGATGTCAATTCGTGTTTTTGGGTCGTATTTGTGTCGGGTTGAGCCACGGGGATAATAGAAAAATTGTCAATCCAAACCCGATCTGAATTCGAAATTTGACCTGAAACTCTAGACCCGAACATGACACGAATTTTTTTAGGTCAGATTCAGATTGACCTGAATTAGTTTCAGGTTACTTGAAATCCGAACAAACCCGATACGAATCCGACACGAAATAGATCCGAAAACCTTTAAAAAAATTAAATTAACCTAAAAGAAAGTCATTTTTATTTTTATTTTTATATTATTTTAAATATAAAATAATATAACTATTAAAAATTAAAATAATAATAATAAAAATTTCAGGTCAACCTGAAACACGAAATCCAAAACATAACTTGATTTTATATTTCAGGTTATCAGGTCAACCCGAAACACGACCTGAACACGATCCAAATTTTTTTTGTTTTGGGTTCGGATCGACCCGATTTTTTTCAAATTCGAATGTAAAAAATTTCAGGTCGAACGAGTTCGATTTTCCGAGTCGGATTTACTTTTGCCATCCCTATGCATATATATAAATATAGTGGTGTAATGATTAGATAATATATTTTGTTATATATGTGTATATATACCGATGTAATATGTAATAGTCATGGATGTATGTATGGAAGTATGTATGTAAATGTGTCTATAAAGTATGTATGTAAATATGTCTATAGAGATGAAGACGTGGGAGAGGAATTGGTGAAGGAATGTGTAGTGCTTCTATTTCATTTATATGTATATCTAATGCAATACACACATTTCTATTTATAGGATGAATTAGCCGACTTAAGTGAATGGTTGGAAGTTCATCAATTGTTTCTCCAATTACAAATTGATATGTAGTTGACTTGCATCCATCCATATCGTTATATATATGTATATTTTATGTGTATTACAATATTTTATTTGGATGTTTTTTTATACAAAGAATATATCTCATTGAAAATTTTGTGGTAAAAAATCGAAAAATAGTACATATTTCTTGTATTGATTTGCTCTTTTGATTTGAACTTTACTTGAGATCTTTAACCTGACGCACTCGAATTCTTTTAACCAATTTGTTGAATGTTGCTGTCGGTAAGACCTCAGTTAATAAATCTACAAAATTGTTAGATGATCGAATTTGTTGCATATCGATTTCACCATTCTTTTGAAGGTTGTGAGTAAAGAAAATTTTTGGTAAAGTATATTTTATTCTATCTTCTTTAATATATTCACAATTTAACTAAGTAATGCAAGCTGCGTTGTCTTCGTATATGATTGTTGGGAGATCTTACTTTCTACCAATTTTTAAGTAAACATATGAGAAACTAACCAAATTTAAAAAATTGAAATTGTATACCGAAATAATTGAAAAATAGCATAAAATCACAAACAGAAAAAAGGATTAGAAATATTTCGAATCTAGATTTTCTTCAAATCCTAGCATTCTTTGACAAGCACGGTCAAATTTTTTTAAACCAGGTTTTCTATTCGAGCCGTCGTCTACTCCTGAAGAAGATGAAAAAAATTGACCTGTAGATTAAGAAAAGAACAAAATTGTCATATTATAAATATATTTAAATTTGATAATATGTGAGGAGTGTGTGTAATATTTTTTAAAACACAGTATTTTACAGTGATTTTTAAATCACAGGGTATAAAACGCAAATTAAAACATAACATAGGTGAGTCTTAAGCTATTTACCCTAAAATTTATAAATTAATAATAATAGATTATAATATTATTTTACTTTATCTATGCACTTTTACATATTTTTATTTTCGTTTTTGGAATTCAAATCTTTATCTTTCCCTTTATAGTTTATTATTTTACCATCACTTTATTACATATTTCTATAAGAAAATTTTGATCTTTGCACTATTATATTTATCTATTACTATTAAACTATTAATATTCTTTAATGCAAATTAAATACTACTATAAACATTAGAGCTGGAAAGAGATAATACTATTTCAAATATAGAGCTGAAAAGAGATAATACTATTTCAAATATTATCTTTTTAACTAAAAATTATTTTCTATGTCCCACATAAAGTGTCTATCTTTTTTATTTTAGTCTGTTTTATATAATTTTTTTTTAAAATATAATTATACAATTTCATCATATTTTAATTTTATAATTTATATTTTTTTAATTTTAATAAATAATTTATTTATCTTAATATTAATTTGTAATTATTTTTATTATATAATAATTATTTTTACTAATATACTTCTTAATTATTTACTAATTATACTTTACCTAAATTTTCGTATTTACAGTAATGCGAATATATTATCCGGGACAGAGGGAGTAATATAATTATAGAAAATACAATTTTATTCTTTTTATTTACTAATATATCAATTTCAGTCTCTATTTTTAAAATGATAATTTTAACTTTTTACTTATTAAATTAGCTTAATTTTATGGGGCACTTGGATCAAAATCCGTCTGAGCTAAGACACATTTAAATTCAGTCCCTCTGGATTTTCATAGTGCACTGCACTCCCTACTTTTAATTTTAGTTTACACTTAACTCCCTAATACCTATTTTACTCCTGAAATCACAATATAATGTTACGAATATTGTATGTACTTCTGTTAATTTTATATAGACCTACATTATCTAATTACATACTCCAAAATTATCCCGTTGTAGAAAGAAAATGTCAAGTCATGTGCCTGGAATTATTTATTTATATACTAAAATTTGCTACAGAAATTAAAAAAAAAAAAAAAAAAAACTCTAATAAAACCCACCATAAGTTGTAGCTTGGTTATTTTTTTAGACTATCTCTTCTTACACTACCATTCTCCGTTGAAACCCCCGTCAAAGTAATTGTCGCCAAGCCTCATTGTATAAACTTTTGCCGTCGTCGGAAGTCTCCACTCGCCGGCCAAAGCTCCGTTCCCGCTCGAGATGTCGAAAAAAACATCCACCTCAAAGCGGAGTTTGAAAAATAAGTTAAAGTTTATATTTTTTTGGTATGATCAAGTTTTTTAGTTCATGGTGTACTTGGATTTATTTTATTTGTGTCTCAGTTGGGTTTGTACAAGATTCAGTAACGGGCCATTTTACTTTGATATCCATCGGGTCGAATATGAGTTATTTTTATGTGTATAAAATTTTAAAAGATCTTATTGTCTTTAGAAGTACATTTATTTGCATTTTTCTAAATTTATATTTATAATAAAATAGTTGAGATGTGAGGCGGGCGGTGCTTCTTGTTTTCTTCAAATACCGTAGACAATTATTTTTTGTCGGGTGATTTTTTAAGTACTAAGGTGTTGGACGATGTCTTTTTCATGAAGTTGGTTAGGGTTTAGGGTTATAAATATATCTATTTTGTCGATTAATAAAAATTTTGTTTGTTATTTATATTATTTTTTAGTGTCTCTCATTGCCTTTGTGTGCCTTGATTGTTGATTTATATGTCTCAAATAGAAGATTACTTATTTTTGTATGCCATAAACTTGTGTTTGTGCTGGGTATACTCATGAAGACATATTTTTGTTGAAATAATAGCAGACCCGAAAAAGAATACGAAAGTCTTACCTCTAGATTATCTATACATTTGTTTTATATAAAGATGACTAAACCTAAGAGACCGTACAAATGCCAAGGTAAGAGTCTCGACTGTGCCCACTTGTATGCGTAGCTGAGAGCTATGCTTTAGATAATAAAAACCGTTAGCCACCGGGCAGCTGGCGCCCAAATTCAATGAGGCCAAGACTTGAGGGCTAAAATTCCTGCAAGAGTTTTAGCAGAGGGCATCGGAGGGTCTGTCTAGTCCAATTTGAATGTTTATGATGCAATTTGTTAGAGTCAGCTTGATGAATAGCTCAGATTTGTGGTTAAATAGGGGTACTTAACCGTTGATGTTATATTTTTAAAGTAGACTTTGTTGATCTCCGACTATTTTAAACTAACGAATGATATTTTAAAAGGTTGTTTATATATACTTACATTCTGGTCATGTATACGTCTCTATTCATTATAGGTAATCCAAAATTTCTAATATATACCTCTATGTGTTTCTCGGCACCCAAATCACTGCGCAGATATACTGGAGGGGTACAAGTACCCACAAAAGTAAATAATATACTTCAATTAGGAAATTTCCATAATTGAGTGTCGAAAAACCCCTAGACCGAGATCATATACCCCTATGGTGATATTTATACCTTCATATTTAATTTATATACCTCTGAACTAATTGAATCTACTCGTATGAAGGAATGTGATCTCTAAGTAATTTTAACCAGAATCGGTGTACATTGAGAGTATGTGTACTCATAAAATTGTCCTGAAAACACCGATGGACCGATGACAAGTCCACATCAATGACTAATATATTCCCTACATTGTGGAAAGTCCAATATGTCTCACAATTAATATTTTCTATCCCTTCTAGTCCATTTACTCACTTTGGGTGTTACTTCTCACTATCAGAAATGCTTGGACGGACCATCACATTATAAAGAACGTGTTAGATCATCAGTTATGCAGTGACTTCAATATATCTACTATTATGGATCATCTCAACATATTTTATTTCATATATATCATAAGTAACATTCTTCATCCACCATTGAATGCATTGATAGCTTTTTTTGTATGTCATCTCAGAAGAATTTCTTACTGCACACTCACTGCACAGAAAATGGATATGATGTAATCATCTCGTAGTTTTTTATCTAATAACAATCAT